GAAGAAAATGGCAGCTGAAAGGAGGTTTATTTATTTATTTATTTATAAAGGTTTTGTTTATTTATTTGGCAGAGAGGGAGAGAGAGAGCACAAGCAGGAGGAGCAGCAGGCACAAGGAGAGGGAGAAGGAGGCTCGGGAGCATGATGCAGGGCTTGAAGAGGACCCTGGGATCATGACCTGTGTCAAAGGCAGACGCTTAAGCAACTGAGCCATCCAGGTACCTCAAATGAGGCTTATTTAAGCTAGAGTTTAAAGCTTAGACTTTCAGACAGATTGGATTTAGTTGAGTGAGGGAGAGAAAAGTCTGCAGAGAAGGGGAGTAGAACATGAAGGTACAAAGAAGTACTCAGTTTAGGGAAACTATTAGTAGTTCTAAACTCATGAAGGATAGGGTAGATGTAGGAGACTGCCTATCTCACAAGACTCTTTTTCCTCAAGGGTAGATGGTGTTAAGGAGTTTAAATTTTATTTGAGGGAATGGGAATAATGCAAAATTTTATTTTGAGGGAATGGGGAACAACAACATGATCAGATTTGCCCTTCACATGTATGATGATGATAGGCCTTTGGATTGACAAGGGGTAAAGTGGGGAGGAGATAGACTTGAGCTAGAAGATTGTAATAACCTAGGGGAAACCTTAATGCAGTGACAATGAGGATTAAATGGGACAGATTATAAGATGTTAAGAAGGTAGAATTAAAAGGAGTTGGGGCCTTATTTGTGAATAATGGAATATATGAAATAATTTATTGCAATTCACTTTTTATTGGTCTCGAACAACTGAGTAGACAATGGAACCCTTCACTGTCAGGACACATAAAAATGGCATAGATATGTCAGCAAAGAAATGTTCAGTTCTGCACAGCTGAGGTTGAAATGATTGAGTACATCTAAGAGGAAGATGTCTGGAGGATAAAAAGATGGTGGAGGAAGACACTTAACTGTCATACGAATAAAACTGGTAATTGAAGTCATGGAGGTATTTAATATCACAACAGGGGTAAGGCTATAGATGGAACAACAACTTATAAGGGGTGGAATATATACAGTAAGCCCCAAAAGGAAGTTAAAAAATACTCAGAAAGCTTTCAGAAGTAAGTAGCGGAAGCCAATGGATGACAATGGTTTCAAGAAGGCTTACATTCTTTCAGAGAAATCTAGAAATAAAGTGCCTAAAATGTGTTACTGGTATTGAAGAACTAGGAGATGATATATTTGATCACTGTGTTAGAATTACCTAGTGCTTGTTTAAAGATTAGATTCCTGGTCATTCTGAACTGAGATTTCTTAGGGTGGGAAAAGAGTGTATATTTTAACAACGTCCCAAATAAACTTCACCCTCACGTCTGAGAACAACTATGGCAGACTTTAAGCTCCTTTAGAACAAGGATCTTGTTTAATTCATCATGTAGACTTAGTGCTTGCCACAGCATTTGCCATGTAACAGGTCCTCAATAAATATGAAGTAACTTAAGGACGAGAGCAGAGAACGGAGAGATGGACAAATGAACACACGAATGAAAGAACTAAAGACGTCTTTGCCAAAATCTTGGTAGGATTATTAGAGCTTACATTCTGGTGGGGTGGGTGAAGGGGTGACAGATAGTATACATGCAAGCAGATAGACAATTTGTAGAGATAACTTGTAGAGATTTGTGTTAGCTAGGATAGTCAAGGAAAGCTTTCCTGAGAAGGTATCGTTTGAGTTGTCACTTAAATTATGAGAAAGCATTAACCATGTGATGCTCTGAAGGCAAAAAACATTTGAGGCAGAACAAAGTCCTAAGGAGAAAAAGGGTGAGTAAAGTGTATTTAAGTAATAAGGAGGCATCTGTGGCTCTGGCTCAGTGAGTGAGATAGAACCTGGTGGCAAATAGGATGCTGATCATCAACAGTTTCATCAGTTGTGATCTCATAGGAATTTGGATGTTATTCTAATTGCAATGAGAAACTATTTAAACTTTAAACAAAGCAGCGATGTGATCCGACTTACACTTAAAAAAAAATTACTCTGGCATCTGTATGAATAATGGATCATAGCAGGGCAATGGTGGAATAAGCCGACCAGTGAGGGGTTGATGTCTGACTGTATTTCAGACAAGAGATGATTATCTTGTGGTGGTAGCAAGAGAGACAGAGAGAAGTGCCTGGGCTTATAATATATTCTGGAGAGAGAGAGAAGGCAAGACAATGCTAATGGGTTGGCCAGAGTAAGTAACAGAAAGAGAAGTCTAAAGAATTTGGATTTTAGCCAACAAGCAACGGGGACTCAAAGTCTTGAAGTGAGTGAGTGACACAACTACAGTAGAATATATTAGAACAGTTATCTTCAAGTAGCGAGCCAAATGAAGTCTTTGGGAAATAAAATGGAAGGTAGACGTGAATTTGGAGTTGTTAGTAATACTCTAGGCCTGAACTGACAGTTACTGAACTAAGATGATGACAAAAGTAATGGCAAAAAGTGACGGATATAAAGGGCCACAATGAAGTTCGTGGAGATTTAATTTGCCATGCCTTTAGGCAAAAAGACACAGAAAATTTGGGCTAGAACTATTTGGGAGTCATCAGAATATAGATAGCTTTTAAAGCCATGTAAGTGACTGAGATCGTCCAGAAAAAGGTGACAGAGTGAAAACGGAGCTTAGGCGAGGAACTGGCTATAGAGACTAAGAGTGACCAGAACAAAAAGAGAAAAACTAGGAGAATGTGGCGTCACAGATGCTGAGGAAAGCATTTTAAGGAGGAGTGTTTATAATGAACAAATAAGGGCTAAGAAGTGTTGGTTGGGTTTGGTAAAGTGGAGATCATGCATGATCTTAGTCAGAGCTGTATCCATTTAGAAGTGGAAGGAGAAGCCAGGCTCCAGGTACAGGGGGCATCTGAGACATGAAGAAGCGCTGACAATCAACATGGATAATACTCTGAAACTTTTGGTTTTGAAGCAAAGAAGAGAAGTAGCTAGAGGAATAACTAGAGTGGAGGGAAGGAATCTTCAGAATGGGAGAGATGGTGCATGTTTCAATATGATGTGAAAGAGAGTAAAGAGAAAGAGGAGGAAGCTATTGGAGAGGGTGAGTGATGGCTGCTAATGGGATCCAGAGAACAGGAAGGGCGTGAGCCATATGTGGGAGGAAGTGCTCTTCTCCCAGTTACAAGAAGCAACAATGTGCCTGGGTGCCAGTAAGTTAGCAGGGTGGTGCTCAGAGGCAGAGGAATTTCCAGGGTGATGGCTTCCATTTTCTTTGTGAAGAAACAAACCATCCACTCAAAAGTGAGGGGAATGGTGAAGGGGACTGAATTTAGAGGAGAGTAGAGAAGGAATGCAATAGCCATTATGGAGAATGGGTAGATAATTTTTCCAGAGAAATATGAGATTGCCTGGCCATACTGAAGATTGAATAAAATGATTTCTGCAGTTTTTGTGTTTAAATATTCTATGATAATCTCCAGATTAACTCATAATCAACATCATGGCAATCCCAGGCCTTATACGCCTATTCTACAAAGAACCTCTACATACTGGATACCTGAACTCATAACTTTAAATTTATGGAGTAGCTTACAAAAAGCTCTTTTGCCAAAGCCCCAGTTTCTCATTTCTGAAATTCTATTTACCCCTATAAATTTAATTTCATTATTTACCTACATTTTTTTTTCAGAAGCAAAATTTAATCTGATGATAGGGAATAGCTATGAACATAGATGTAATGTTGGCCATAGCACAAATTGCTGTGAGAAAAGTCCTGTCAGAGTAGCATAAAAAGCAACCATGTCCATTAGGCTGACTTAAACAAGTGACACTAAATTATCTAGAAATCAAATATAATTTGTCACAATTATATGCTCATTTCATTTTTATTTTTACTATTTGTCCTGGATATATTAGATGCTTACTGATATTTAGTGAAAAAGAGATGAACATTTCAGGGATTTCTAAGCATTTGGTACATATTGATAAACCATAAAATAATCAAGTACAAATAACTGAAAGAAAATCCAAAGATCATAAAGTTAGTAAAGAAGGTAACTGCCAGCACATGGCAGTAATTGTATTAATATCTAGAGACAATGTTGATACATTTTTTTTTTAAAGATTTTATTTATTTGACAGACAGAGATCACAAATAGGCAGAGAGGCAGGAGGAAGCAGGCTCCCTACCGAGCAGAGTCTGATGCGGACCTCAATCCCAGGACCCTGGGATCATGACCTGAACTGAAGGCAGAGGCTTTAACCCACTGAGCCACCCAGGCGCCCTGACAATGTTGATAAATTAAGAGAGGGTGAAGGGAACATGGTAACTTACTAGAGGAGTTCAGTTCTTTCATAGAAGCAGGGTAATTTTCATTTTTTCCATCATAATTGTGAAATAAAATACTCTCATCATTATACTCCTTTAGTTGTCACTGGCATGTGAAAGCATTTGCCCCAAATGTTCATAAAATATAATAATAACAGTTAATAGAAAAAAAATAAAAATAACTAAATCTTTCTTTAAAGCTTAGAACACATTAAGGATTTGACAATGACATGGGTCAAATGGTTGTTATTTGAAACCTTAAAATAATTTTTTTGCTACTCTGCAAGTTAATTTCCTAATTGGCAAAAGAGAACAGGTTAGATTAGATCATCTCTGAAGGAAGTTTCTACTCATATTTCTGATTGAAAAGCATCTAATCACAGAGACTATCAGCTACTTTAGGAGTATAGTCCTTCTTATATAGCATACAATGTCCATGTTAATTAAAGAAACCTGACAGGACAGTTTCATTTTAGGTATAACTTACTTCTTTATTCAGAGCAAGAAACTGATAATGATTTTCATAATTAATTTCAGAATTTTCATATCCATTAGAAGTTGAATTTTTTTCACAAAACTATATCATGAATGTTATCAGAATTTTTCCAAAATAAAATTAATTTTATAACCATCATATCATGGCCTTATCTTTTTTCTTCCTTTAGATGTCTATATTTTGAGAAATAGTATAAATTCTTACCTCTAAGAGATAAGGTTCCATTTGATCCAGGGTTTTTCCAAGATGCTTATCTGGATCTAAACCTGCCAAGAAAGATTAAATTTTTTTTTTAAGATAATTATCAGATTGGAAGACACATTTCCCTCTTCCCTTTGCCTCTCCTTGCTTAGGAAACCAGTATATGTATATTTCAAATTGCTTTGATCCTAAAGTAAAATGTATTTGGCTAGTATTTACTTTTCTATTCCCCTTGGAATAGGGGATTTTCTTGCTCCTGAAAAATAAGTTCCATGCCAAATCATTTCATTGCACTGTGTCAGCTTCCAGATACATTGTTTTAATTCATTTTTGAGCAATTGTAATTTGGATGGAAAAACAGGTATCATTTCAAAGATAGGACATTTATGTCCTTGGTATTTTAATTATTATGGCTATTTTATTCATGGACAATAGTGAGAATTTTCTTATGTATTCCTGTTTTATCTAAACTTTAAAATTCTAACTTAGAGAATAAGAGTAGAAAATAGAAGAACAGTAGACACTTATGCCTATATAATTCATTCACTTCATAAAAGGACACATATATGGGCACAAATAATTGTATTATCAAATTAAATGATGTTTCATTTCAATGACCATTTGCATGATAATGTTTTCTAAGCAAAGATAGAAACAACTTTGAAAAATCATTATTGTACCAACAGCATGTGTATAATCTTAGATAAAGATGTTCAACTATATAGTAGAGTTGATGTAGGTGATAAGGTATAGGCAGACAAGTATGGGCAATAAACTCTTCCCACATACCAGAACTAACTTGCCAGGGAAGAAAAAGTCACATACCACAAATCTGCTATGAAATGGAAGAATTCATTTTAGATATTACATCCATAATATATTTAGATATTTACATATGTAATGCGTGTATTGACTTAGCCTCATTTAAATGAATTGTTTTTATCTTTTACTGGTTTAAATTATTTAGCTATTAATTACACAAACTGATCAATAATTTTCTGCTTCTAGTTGGATGCTTTTTTTGGTAACATGTTATTTATTATATCACATATGAGAAGAAGGGAAGTCAGGCCAAGATCGAAAACTCTTCTGCCACTGAGTATTTTAGGTGAAACTCAAAGCAAACAACTCAGACCAATAGCACTGGACAGATTTTTTGTCTCACCTCTCTTCACAGCAATCTTATTCTCACAGTGTATTCACTAAAATTAAAATTTCAAGGAGATGGGTGAACATTTAGATGAACCAATCACTGACTCTGTCTAGTTCCTCTACTTTTATCACAATTTAGCAATTCCATATTTAGAATCAGTAAGTAAATGAAATACTTTGAAAGAAACACCCATGTAATCACCACCCAGATTTAACAAGTATTAACATTGTGCCATATTTTCTCTACAACATTTTTTAAAAGAAATAAACACTACCAACACAACAGAACGTCACGGTATATCTATCTACTCTTAATCTACAGCCCCTACACTTCTACATGGTAAGTACTCTTTTGAAGCTGGTGAGTTACTAATTATACTTTTATAATTTTACTACAAATGTATGTATCCAAACACTATTTAATACTGTTCACATATATTAAATTTTTATGTGAATGATATAATCTTTAACTTGATTTTTTCAATTCACATTGTTAATGAGATTAACTTATATTGATTGCTGTGGCTCTGGTCCATTCATTTTTATTACTGTATTCTATTCCTTTATATGGATATGCCAGAATTTAATTCTACATTTTCCAGTAGACAGGTATTTAGGCACTGGGTTGTTTCTAATTTCTGTTCTGCCACAAGTACTTTGTATGCTGCAGTAAATATGGTTTTATGTGAAATTACCATGATAGAAGAAAGTATGTACATATAATTGTATGTATTATTGCAATATATGCGCATGAGCACGTGCGTGTGTGTGTGTGTGTGTGTGTGTGTGTGTATAATCTTCAAGTCTATTAGATATTGCCAAATTGCTCTCCAAAGCAGTATTACCAATTTGTACTTCTACTATTAGGACATAGAATTCCTATTTCACAATAGGAATAATGCAATATATTGCATTAAATAATGCACAATAATGCAAAAATAATTTAGTGGTGTCAGAATTTTAAAATCTTTGCTAATTGATAAGTAAATGAATAAATAAATAAAGTTGTTTTAGATACTTATTTTAATTGTCATTTTCTGATTATTATTAAAAGCACCATACCCAATACAGATGGCTTCCCAGGTGAATTCTACTAATATTTAAAGAAGAGTTTAGAAGAGGAAGGAAAACTTCCAAATTCATTCTACAAGGCCCACATTACCCTGATATTGAAAATCAGATAATTAAACTACAGAAAAAGAAAACTACAGGCCAGTATCTCTGATGAGCATAGATAACAATCCACAGTAAGATATAAGCAAACTGAATCCAACAATACATTTAAAAGAAAAAGTCATTCACCATGATCATGTGGGATTATTCCAGGGACACAAAGGAGGGTGGTTTAGTATTTGCAAACAATCAACATGATACACCAAATTAGCAAAAGAAAGAGTAACAGCTGTATGATCATATCAATAGATGTAGAAAAGCACCTGTCAAAGTACAATCTTCGTTCATGATAAAAACTCAACAAAGTAGGTTTAGATATGGTTTCACTTACTTGTGGAGCATAAGGAATAACATGGAGGACATTGGGAGAAGGAAAGAAGTGAGTTGGGGGAAATTGGAGGGGGAGACAAACCATGAGAGACTGTGAACACTGAAAAACAAACTGAGGGTTTTGGAGGGGAGGGAGGTGGGGGGTTGGGTGAGCCTGGTGGTGGGTATTAAGGAGGGCACATATTGCATGGAGCACTGGGTGTGGTGCATAAACAATGTATCTTGAAACACTGAAACAAAAATACATTTTAAATAGTTATGGTGTCAAAAAAAAAAAAAAAAAAAGGAACATAGCTCAACATAATAAAGGCCATATGTGAAAAACCCACAGCTAACTTCATTCTCAATGGTGAAAACAAAGCTTTTCCCCTAACATCAGGAACAAGACAAGGATGTCCACTCTCTTCCCTTTTATTCAACGTAGTACTAGAATTCCTACAGCAATCAGGCAAGAAAAAGAGGTAAAAGGCATCCAAATTGGTAAAGAACTAAGTAAAACTTTCATTATTTGCAGATGACATGATAGTATTAAATATAGAAAACTCTACAGATTCTACCAAAAAACATGCTAAAACTGATGTATAGATTTAATAAAGTTGCAAGATACAAAATTAATACACAAATAATGTGCTGCCTTCCTATACACTAATAATGAGATAGCAGAAAGAAAAATTAGGAAAATAATCCCACTAAAATAGCACCAAAAAGAACAAAATACCTATGAATAAACTTAACAAAGGAAGTGAAAGACCTATACTTCAAAAGCTATAAATCGATAATGAAAAATTGAACATGACACAAACAAATGGAAAGATATTCCATGATAATTGATTGGAAGAACCAATACTGTTAAAATGTTCATACTATCTGAAGCAATCTACAGATTTAATGCAATCCCTATCAAAATACCAGTAACATTTTCCATGGAACTAGAACAAATAATCCTAAAATTATATGGAACCACAAAAGACCCCAAATAGTCGAAGCAATCTTGAGAAAGAAGAACAAAGTTTGAGGTATCACAATTATGGATTTAAAGATATACTACAAAACTTCAGTGATAAAAACAGTGTGGTACTGGTACAAAATAGGGTTATATAGATCAATGGAACACAGATCTATAGTTACACAGATCAATGCACAGAAATAAACCCACACATTTATGGTCAATTAATTTATGACAAAGGAGGGAAGAATAAAGAATATGTAATGGGGAAAAGAAAGTCTCCAACAAATGGTGTTGGGAAAACCAGAGAGCTACATGCAAAACAACGAAACTTGGCCACTTTCTTATACCATAACAAAAATAAAATGGATTAGACCTAAATGTGAGGCCTAAATTTATAAAACTCCTAGAAGAAAACAGAGGTAGCAATTTCTTTGACATCAGGCATAGAAACATTTTTCTAGATATGTCTCCTAAGGCAAAGGAAACAAAAGCAAAATCCAACTACTGGGATTATACCAAAATAAAAAGTTATTTGTATGGTGAAGGAAACCATCAACAAAACAAAAAGGCAACTACTGAATATTTGCAAATGATATATCCAGTAAGGGGTTAATATCCAAAACACATAATTTTCAAAACTCAACACCAAAAACCCCCACAAATAATCTGATTTAAAAATCAGTAAGAACCTGAATGGATTTTTTTTTTTTTCCAAAGACATACTTATGGCCAACAGACACATGAAAAAAAGCTCAACATCACTCATCATCAGGGAAATGCAAATTAAAACCACAATGTACAATTTACCACAATGTACCAATTTACACCTTTTGGAATGACTAAAATAAAAAACACAGGAATATAAGTATTTGTGAGCATGTGGAGACAAAGGAACCCTTGTGCATTGTTGGTGGGACAGCAAACTGGTACAGCCAATGTGGGAAACAATATGGAAGTTCCTGAAATATTTATGCTTTATGTATTTGAGAGCTATGTTATTATGTGCATAGATACTTGCAATTTCTAAAGTTTTCTGATAAGATTATTATTCCTTTTATCAACAAGTAATGACCTATTCATCTCCATATATCTTCATACATGATTTTTATACTATATTCTATTTACCAACACTACAACACCATCTTTATTTTGTTAACATTTTACTGGCATATATTTTTTCCATAATTTATTCTTGAATTTTCTGTGTGTGTGTGTGTGTGTGTGTGTGTGTGTTTTCATATGCCATTTATCAACTACATATAACTGGATTTTTAAAAATTTTATCCTGTCTTATAAATACAACTTTAAAGAACGGAGTTTAATCATTTTACATTTTTAACATTTTATTCTATCATCTTATTATAGATTTCCTGTTTTACTAAGCTTTATACATATTTGTTCCTTTGGTATTTTCTGCCTCATGCTGTACTGAAAGGATTTTTGTCTGTTTGTTTTCTCTGC